TTAGGTTTAGGGTTAGGTTAAGGCTTAGGTTAAGGGTTAGGGTTAGGGTTAGGGTTAGGTTAAGGGTTAGGATTAGGTTTAGGGTTAGGTTAAGGCTTAGGTTAAGGGTTAGGGTTAGGGTTAGGGTTAGGTTAAGGGTTAGGATTAGGTTTAGGGTTAGGTTTAGTCTTAGGTTAAGGGTTAGGGTTAGGGTTAGGGGGCTTAGGTTAAGGGTTAGGGTTAGGGTTAGGGTTAGGGGGGTTAGGTTTAGGTTTAGGGGTTAATTTTAGGTTTAGCGTTTACAGCGTGCTTCTGTCTCCGCGCTGTTGTCGCCCTGTTGATGACGTCAGCTACGTGGTTTCGTCGAGCGCGGTTTAGTTGAATGCAGTTTTGTGGTGGAACCAAGCATTTACCAGGATGGACAAGAGAAAGCTGAGACATGTTGGCCTGGTAAATGCTTTATAGTATTTACTTAGAAAATTGGAAAACAAAAAATAACATGGAAGCTGCCTTTCAAAAACCTTTCCTGTGAGAAGAAGCCCTTTTGTTTGCCTCTTTGGCATTTCATTTTTCCTGGCATCAATAGTCTCTACCTATCATCCGTTCCTTTACCTTTTCATTATCCAGACCTCCTGAAGGTGAATTTCCTCATATTAACCACACCACATTGTTTATTAAAACCGGTTTATTTATCCATATAGTATTCCTTAAATCACCCTTAACTCTCTTGTCAAGGAAATTCAAAAACATTACTTAAAAATTTGCAATGACTTTTGCAAGACTGCTATGGAATATGAGCATTATTTTATAGGTCTGCGAAAGAAACAATCACCCTTTTTCTGCATAAAAATATGGTTTTAATATTTCTGTAGTAAATCTTAGGCAAACAATACAACACATTCTGGGTGCTTCACATCACAGTGATAAAAACAGAAAGGGCATTACCTGAAAGTGCTACAAATATATTTCCTTTATAGAATAAATATTATATCAATTTTAGGCTGAGAGAAAATTTAAGGGTAGTTTATTTATTGGTTCAATTTGCTTAGCTTGTTCTGTTTAAACAATTTTAAAACTATCCCACCATTAACAGTAGACATAAGAATTCCAGAATCAAATCAAATATAGAACATAAAGTCACCAACTTTTTTAGGCCACCAATTCATAATATTTGTTAATTGATAAATATTTCAAGAGTGATTCTGCTATTTTTTTCAACAATGGGTAGTGAAGAAAGTTAGCACCCATCCCTTTTAGAAGAATGAAATATTTTAGGAAATATTAAAAAGGCAGAATATTATATTTCCCTGGATGAGAAAAGGAGAAAAAATTTTTTAAAGACAAAGACCAGCTCCCTGCCCCCCACATCTTAATGCACATTAAGACTGGGCCAGTCTATCTACAAAAGAAAAGACCTCAACTCCAGGCTGATGGGATTAAGACATGACCTTCCAGGACACAATAGGATTATCTAGTTCCCCACATGGCACCTGGGGTTATTACATCATCCAGCACAGTTCAACCAAACTTATCTCAGACAAACTCCTAGGATTTGCACATGATCCTTACAGCAACCAATAAAATACCTGCCCTTGCCACAGCAACAGGAAGCTCAAGTTCAAACCCAGGAGAAGTTATAAGTAGCACCCACTCTCCATGTGTTCAGCTGCACCAGGGCCATGTGCTTAATGGTTCCGCTCCATTAAACCAGCTTTCCAAGCAGCCTCCATGTTTCCAGTATCTTTCTCCCCATTTGGAACTGAACCCAAATGGACATTTCTTCCAACAGTAGCAAAAAAGTTGGTAGACAATACCGATTCCCATTTTTTTTTATTTACAAACTCATATGTTAACATCATTTGCAGACAATTTACAGAATAATGATAGGCAACCAAGCAAGTTTTTTATTATTATATTTTTATCAAGTAGTTTAGGAAAATAAAAAAAGACACATAAAAGGGAAAAAGAGGTTTAAAAAGAAAGCAAAAAAGCACAAAATGGATAAACAGGATTAGGATTAGTTTACATTAAATATTAATTAAAATGTTAATATTTCATTTAGTTTTTTGTTATTGAATGTGTTAAACTCCAAATAATGCATGAATATCAACAGCAATAGTAGCCTAGTATAAATCATAAAATGAGATAAAGTATTGCATTAATTTCTATCTGAGCAATTAAAGGCATCAAGTTAGTAGGAACACAAATTTCAGATATTGTACAAGTGTGCATATAATGATATAATCCCAAAATGGTTTCCAGGTAGAATTAAATTCTATGTCAGATTACTTTTGAAAACAAAATTATTTTGAACAGTAAGGCAACTGGTTTTTGGATTTGCTTGCTTTTATTCTGTAATTCCATCTGTATATTTTGAATAAGGTTGTCTGTTATTTTGAATAAGTCTGTCTGTTGAAAATCTAAGTCTACATTTTAAAATTGGTCATGATGGAAATACTGCCTGTATTATCATACTTGATCTTGATTGTATTACCTCTGTTAATACCTCTATTGTTTATGTTTATATTGTTTATACTGTTTAAATGTTTATATTGTTTATACCTCTAGTTAAATGCATGTAGTCTTTCCTATATTGGATTTAATTACAATCCAATGAAGATCTGTTAATGTTCTTTTTGAAACACATCTGGCAATCAGTAGAAACATCTTTAAACTGGTAAACTAGCTGATAATTGTACCAAACATTTTCCACTAAAATGTGCATTACTGCCAATTGAAGAGCTGTGCAACAAATTTAGAAATCTCTTCAATTCTGTAATTTAATTGCAATTTATTTTGGTGTTTTAAACAATATATACCGGAATGAAATTGAACTGCAATAAATGAGCACATATTTATGAAAGTCATCAACATCTTTTCACAGGTACTGTGAGAGCATGAATAGGATATCAAGAAGGAGTGGAAAACCATATTCTCTAAATGACCCATGAGCCTATCACAAGATTGGGTCAGGAGTCTCCTAATGTGGAATGCTTAATGTCACATGTTTAATGTCAGAAACATAGTAAATAATGCTAAAGTCACATGTTTAATTGTTAATAAGGTGCGGGGCAATAAAAGTAGGTATAACCTTTTGTATGTGTGTGCAGGCAGATTAGAAAGCCTGCATATTTTCCTTTCCAGAGTCTGTGTGAAGCCTTTCCCTATTTCATTTTGAGGTGCTGTATTGCCTGAAATTTCTTAGAGGCTGGATGCTTTGCTCTCCATCTACTGCACTGTAATGAATAATAAAGGAACTTGTTATGAAGCTGTTGAGGCCTGCAGTGTGTTGGCTGGAAAATCTGGAAGCACAGCCATCAAATTCTCCCTCATATTTCTCATGGCCAAGAAATATTACAGTGGGTCAAAAGAAAAATCAGAACTTTTCTTCTTAAGCCTACCTGAAAAAAAGTTTTCAGTTCTTTAGCCAATAGTTGCAAGAAAGAAAATGGAGCCTATTAAACCACCCTCTAGTTTAATAGATTAAGAATTGGAAGGGACCTTATAGGTCATCTAGTCCAACCCTCCCACCCGCTCAAGCAGCAGACCCTACGCCATTTCTGACAAATGGCAGTCCAATCTCTTCTTGAAAGTCTCAAGTTACGAAGCTCCCACAACTTCCGAGGGCAAGCTGTTCCATTGGTTGATTGTTCTCACTGTCAGAAGGTTCCTCCTTATTTCTAGGTTGAATCTCTTCTTGGTCAGTTTCCATCCATTATTCCTTGTTTGGCCTTCAGCTCGGCCCCCTCCTCTCTGTGGCAGCCCCACAAATATTGGAACACTGCTATCATGTCTCCCCTGGTCCTTCTCAGTAGACGAGCCATGCCCAGTTCCTCTAACCGTTCTTCATATGTTTTAGTCTCCAGCCCCTGAATCATCCTGGTTGCTCTCCTCTGCACTTTTTCTAGAGTCTCAACATCTTTTTTATAGTGTGGTCACCAAAACTGGATGCAGTAGTTCAGGTGTGGCCTTACTAGGGCTTTATAGAGTGGTATTAGTACCTCACTTGATCTTGATTGTATTACCTCTGTTAATACCTCTATTGTTTATGTTTATATTGTTTATACTGTTTAAATGTTTATATTGTTTATACCTCTAGTTAAATCTGGCAGGAAAGGAAGGAGAAAAATGAGGAAAATGAAACAGCAATTATATCTACAATTCATAAATGGCTGAGGAAATCAAAGGATGATAAAAGTGCTGCGATGATCTACTGCATAGAAGAAAAGGCTTTGGAAATATACAACAATCTCCACAATGCCTACACAGATCCATCAAGCAAGACACAAGTAGGAGATTCTGCTGGATATAAAATGCATGGAGAGCCCAAGAGAATCCCTGTTTTTGAATGATTCCTGCTTTGGCAACTTTCTCTTATGAAATAGTAAGTGTGGGCTTCTTTGCCACAGTTCTCAGAGAAAAATCTGAACATTATACATTTGGAGGCATTACAGATCTACTGCTGAGAGAAAGCATTTTTATGCATCTTGATGACCTTTTCCTCTTCCTTTTCAAGAGCTGGTTTATATGTATTGTTTTATTGTGTTTTATTCTGTGTTCTGTTAATTACTTTTCTAACAAGAGGCATTGCAGTCAAGTACCATGTCAATCTACAAAAGCCAAAAATTAGAAGTCGTTCTTGTGTGTTTTTAATAAAACTTATTAGTTTGACAAGATGCTATTAGATTCCTCATTGCTGATAAGAAGTTTATTGATAAAAAGTATTTTAGCCCTCTTTGTTTTTATTTAATTAATACCCCAAAAGAGATAAGATCATTTTCTTAATTCTTAATTTTTTGGGGGGTGGATGGGTGGTATCTGTATATTGTATAACATCCAAATGTAACATTCATGTTACATTTAACTTTGCCAAATGAGTAAATGCAAATGTAGTTTTTTAGAATATTTTTTTTTAGATAAGAGTCAAATCTGATTAACACCCTAATTTGATGGTCTAATAATATAATTTAGTGAAGCGTTATTGGCAGGGATCCGCACAAGTTGCCTACTTTAATGGCCCCCAACTAGTTTTATCTAGGCTTGCTTATTACAAAGAATTGGAACTGTGAGAGAACAAATCTGAAGCTTTTTGCAACAGAATATACAAATCCAAGAACCATCATCACATTTTGATCCAGAAGTAATGACATGTACAGTATAATTTTGTTTAGTATTCTTTTTACCATTTATTTAAAGCCACTGACCAATTATTAAAAGTGGTTAAGATTCTAGCTTTGCCTGTGTAAGACAATATATAGGCCTTTTCGGGATTACCGGATTAGGGCCTAAAATGCTAAATTAATAGTGATAAGTATGTTATATTCCAGGACGTACATTCAGGTTGGCTCTGAGCATAAATAACAATTAGCATGGCAAGGAAACAAGAAGAGTGTACACAAACACATACACATGGCCATACATATGTTGGCACTCTCTTTGCATTGAATTCTCACAGTTTAGTCTGAAATTAGAGAATGCCTTCATTTCTGGAATACTTTGCTGGTGCCTTTGGACAAATGTACTTCTTTCCTAGGGAAACAAACAGGAAGCACAATAAACATATATACAAACTGCATTTCCTTCAAAGAGTTTAGGAGAGCATACAAGGATTTTTTAAAATTACCACAATAATATTATGAAGGTAGAACAAATAGTGTGAGACTTCATCATTAACCCCACTGAAATAAACTGGCTGAACAAATCTTAGAACCATAGTTTTTTTAAAATCCAGAAACACGAGCCCTTCCCTCATTTTGTCCAGTATCCTCCAAATGCCCTAGGACTGTGATGGCAAACCTATGGCATGTGTGCCAAAGGTGGCACACAGAGCCCTCTCTATGGGCACATGCACCATCAGCAGCTGGTCTTTTGGTTTCCAGTGTGCATGTGTGCCCTGGCCAGCTGGTCTTTGTGCGTGCCAGAGCACCAGAAACCTGAAGACCAGCTGGTCAGTGCGCATGCACGCTGGCCAGCTGGTCTTCAGGTTTCCAACAATCTGGCGTGCGCATGTTCCAGTTTGGGCACTCAGTGCTGAAAAGGTTCGACATCACTGATTAGCAGGCTATGTGAAAATCTAGAGAATTATGGTTTCCCTGTGGATAAGGCAGAAGGCACTGAATAAACTATTTAGAGGATTGGCTTCATGCATTTTCAAATACACATTTCCACCTACCCTCAACAAGGATCAAGAAAATGATTCTGGTTGAAACACAGAATATGATTAACAAATCAGGCTGGACCAAATCGTGTGTACTGTAAGAAAACCATGATTAAGATTCTTGCATTTTGTTTTATTAAAAGGATACCTATTGGACTGACTTGAAAGTTTTCTGAGATGAGAGAACACTTCCATACCAGAATTGTTGTCATTTCCCTAATCCTTCCAAACCAATTGAAAGCCAATCTTCTTCACTTGAAGCACAAGTACATCACAAATAACCAGCGCTTCCTTCAGCTAGCCAACAGGAATGAAAATAAAGTTATTTGATGAATGTCATGGTCACTGAGCCTAGGCACAAACTGGAATAGTACCTCATGCAAAAATAAAGTCAAAGACATTTCCAAATGGCTATCTTCCTTGTAGCTATGATGGGAAACTCTGCTAGAGAAAGTTTTTTTTAAAAAAAAGAAGAGTGGAATCTATACCACCATCTGTCTCCTGCATATAAAAGCCAGCTGGCAAATGGATCATAGATAAGCTTCACAGAGCAACAAAATGTCAACAAAAATATTAGGTATGTTTCAAAGAAATTGCTTTTAGCTCTCATAACCAATTCAGCTCTCAAAAGCAACCAACTCTGGATGATCAAATAAATCCAGAAATGGCACTGAACTGGATGCAAAATTCTCATGAAGAAATGCTCCCGGATGAATGGTGTTTAAGACTTCAACTCATGCCATTCATCTGGTATAATTTTATTATAACTCCAAAAGAATGCAAAATTAGGAAGAACATTTTTGTTCTTCGCAACCCCAGAGCATTTCCTCCATACCATTTCCTTCATATATAAGAAAATCCTGTGTGATACCTAATATAAAAACAAAACAATAGAACCGCCTTCTCCGTGGGCTGCCTTGTAGATGGATAAGAATCATGGCAACTGAAGTTTACCATATCTAGACTAGAGAAATATTTAAGTCCTTTCACAGATTCCCTCACTGCATCTACTTTAATCCTAATTTGAATGAATCAAGCAGATAATAAGGGAAGGGAGAAAGTATTCTGCCATTCTATTGGGAATAGTGATTAATTGCTACGCTGGGGTGGTTTGTTAGTTAGTCAGCTAGTATTCCATAACAAAATCAGAAACATCTTGAGTGGGAGTATGATATAATCTTCTGGGTAGCACTAGATAAAGATATATTCCCACTGTATCACCATGTCCATTTTTATTGCTACAAAAAGGAACAGAAAGGAAGGAAGTCAAGATTCAGGTGTTTTTTTTCCTGAACAGTTTTTAGTTCTCACAGAGATGGATACAAAAAGTATCCTATTCTATTCCTCCGCATATCACCAAAGGCATTTTTCCATAATGGATCTGATACAGTCCTGTTTCAATTGGTTCCAGTGTAAGCTTCCCTAGCATGATTCTGATCAGCATGGTCAATGCTGTATTAAGCTAGGAAATAAGGAAATTGTAATCCAAAGCATCTGGAGGCCACTCAATCAGGGAAGGTTAAGGAAAGCAAGAGATTGAAATTGCACAACATTTAACATCTGACCATAAAGCAGTGTATTTCATTTTTGGCTAGGAACTGAAAAACAGACTGGGAACAGGTTTTTTGTTATAAAAAATGCTTGTCATTTTTTAAATTCTAAATCCTTATAGAACAATCTACATAGTCTTTGAAAAATCCAAGCTCAGATACGAAGTCCTGCCACTAGAAAAGTAATCTTCTGTCCACATGGATTAGTCTCTCTGTTTCCCTTTAAAGGCTAAATCTTCTTGTCTCTGCTGAATCACAACTGTGTGATGCAGACAGTTGGGCCTAAATGTTTTTTTTCCCCGAATATGTTGTATAACATTGATAAAATGCAACATCATCCCCCTAATGTTAGCATATAAACAGAAAGCAATCCTGTTAAGCATAGATTACATGGCCATTGTACTTTGGTTCCCAATATAATTAAAGAAGGTGACAAAGGCCTTGATTCTCTTTTGTAAATCTCATTTACTATAGATTAACTTTAATAAAATGAAGATGGTGATTTTTGTAAAAAAGTCAAAAAGATAACCAACACTTGGGGATAAGATCAAGCATGTTTAAGTAGCTAGGGATGGTTTTCCAAGTCATGGGAAAATGTAATGCCCTGGTATCTATCTATCTATCATCTATCTATCTATCTATCTATCTATCTATCTATCTATCTATCT